CACCTGACCACGTGACCACCTGACCACCTGACCACGTGACCACGTGACCACCTGACCACCTGACCACCTGACCACGTGACCACCTGACCACCTGACCACGTGACCACCTGACCACCTGACCACCTGACCATGTGATCACCTGACCACATGACCACCTGACCACGTGACCATGTGACCACCTGACCACCTGACCACGTGACCACCTGACCACGTGATCACCTGTCCACCTGACCATGTGATCACCTGACCACATGACCACCTGACCACGTGACCATGTGACCACCTGACCACCTGACCACCTGACCACCATCACACTGTCCATGTCTGAGAGACACCTGACCTTTGTTTTTATTTCTTCAATCCTCAAAAACTTTTAATCGACTTGAAGGTCGTAGATGTTCGACCAGGTGACCGTTTGTTTGAGCGACTCACAAAAAACAACATTTCTACACCCGCCAAAAAAAGGGCGGTCAGAGACAACCACGGCGCCGTCTGTAAGACCCTGACCGTGTTTGTTTGATGATCGTCCACACTGACAGGAGAGCTGAGGGACAGGTGGAGGACAGGAGGAGGACAGGAGGAGGACAGGTGGAGGACAGGAGGAGGACAGGAGGAGGACAGGTGGAGGACAGAAGGAGGACAGGAGGAGGACAGGAGGAGGACAGGTGGAGGACAGAAGGAGGACAGGAGGAGGACAGAAGGAGGACAGGAGGAGGACAGGTGGAGGACAGGAGGAGGACAGGTGGAGGACAGGAGGAGGACAGGAGGAGGACAGAAGGAGGACAGGAGGAGGACAGGAGGAGGACAGGAGGAGGACAGGTGGAGGACAGAAGGAGGACAGGAGGAGGACAGGTGGAGGACAGAAGGAGGACAGGAGGAGGACAGGAGGAGGACAGGAGGAGGACAGAAGGAGGACAGGAGGAGGACAGAAGGAGGACAGAAGGAGGACAGGTGGAGGACAGGAGGAGGACAGAAGGAGGACAGAAGGGGGAGAGGAGGAGGACAGAAGGAGGACAGGAGGAGGACAGAAGGAGGACAGGAGGAGGACAGGAGGAGGACAGGAGGAGGACAGAAGGAGGACAGGTGGAGGACAGGAGGAGGACAGGAGGAGGACAGAAGGAGGACAGGAGGGGGACAGGAGGAGGACAGGAGGAGGACAGGTGGAGGACAGGAGGAGGACAGAAGGAGGACAGGAGGAGGACAGAAGGAGGACAGAAGGAGGACAGGAGGAGGACAGGAGGAGGACAGGAGGGGGACAGAAGGAGGACAGGAGGAGGACAGAAGGAGGACAGAAGGAGGACAGGAGGAGGACAGGAGGAGGACAGAAGGAGGACAGAAGGAGGACAGGAGGAGGACAGGAGGGGGACAGGAGGAGGACAGAAGGAGGACAGGAGGAGGACAGAAGGAGGACAGAAGGAGGACAGGAGGGGGACAGGTGGAGGACAGGAGGAGGACAGGTGGAGGACAGGAGGGGGACAGGAGGAGGACAGGAGGAGGACAGGTGGAGGACAGGAGGAGGACAGAAGGAGGACAGAAGGAGGACAGGAGGAGGACAGAAGGAGGACAGGAGGAGGACAGGAGGAGGACAGAAGGGGGAGAGGAGGAGGACAGAAGGAGGACAGGAGGAGGACAGAAGGAGGACAGAAGGAGGACAGGAGGAGGACAGAAGGAGGACAGGTGGAGGACAGAAGAAGGACAGGAGGAGGACAGGTGGAGGACAGGTGGAGGACAGGAGGAGGACAGAAGAAGGACAGGAGGAGGACAGGTGGAGGACAGGAGGAGGACAGAAGAAGGACAGGAGGAGGACAGGTGGAGGACAGGAGGAGGACAGGTGGAGGACAGGTGGAGGACAGGTCGCTCGCCGTGACCTTTGAACTAGGGTCAGTTTAGATGTTTGACCCTGAAGCTTCGTTTTCTAACTGGTTCCAGTTGAACCAGTTTGACTCTCGTGCTGACTCATCAGTGTGTGAGTGTGTGTGTGTGAGTGTGTGTGTGTGTGTGAGTGTGTGTGTGTGTGTGTGTGTGTGAGTGTGTGTGTGTGTGTGTGTGTGTGTGTGTGAGTTAGTGTGAGTGTGTGAGTGTGTGTTTGTGTGTGTGTGTGTGTGTGTGTGAGTGTGTGTGTGTGTGTGAGTTAGTGTGAGTGTGTGAGTGTGTGTATGTGTGTGTGTGTGTGTGTGTGAGTGTGTGTGTCTGTCTGTGTGTGTGTGAGTGTGTGTGTCTGTGTGTGTGTGAGTGTGTGTGTCTGTGTGTGTGTGAGTGTGTGTGTGTGTGTGTGTGTGTGAGTGTGTATGTGAGTGTGTGTGTCTGTGTGTGAGTGTGTGTGTGTGTGTGTGTGTGTGTGTGTGTGTGTGTCTGTGTGTGAGTGTGTGTGTGTGTCTGTGTGTGTGTGTGTGAATGTGTGTGTGTGTGTGTGAATGTGTTTGTGTGTGTGTGAGTGTGTATGTGAGTGTGTGTGTCTGTGTGTGTGTGAGTGTGTGTGAGTGTGTGTGTGTGTGTGTGTGTGTGTGAGTGTGTATGTGAGTGTGTGTGTCTGTGTGTGAGTGTGTGTGTGTGTGTGAGTGTGTATGTGAGTGTGTGTGTCTGTGTGTGAGTGTGTGTGTGTGTGTGTGTGTGTGTGTGTGTGTGTGTGTGTCTGTGTGTGAGTGTGTGTGTGTGTCTGTGTGTGTGTGTGTGAATGTGTTTGTGTGTGTGTGAGTGTGTTTGTGTGTGAGTGTGTATGTGAGTGTGTGTGTCTGTGTGTGTGTGAGTGTGTGTGTGTGTGTGTGTGTGTGAGTGTGTATGTGAGTGTGTGTGTCTGTGTGTGTGTGTGTGTGTGTGTGTGTGTGTGTGTGTGTGAGTGTGTGTGTGTGTGTGAGTGTGTGTGTGAGTGTGAGTGTGTGTGTGTGAGTGTGTGTGTGAGTGTGTGTGTGTGTGTGTGTGAGTGTGAGTGTGTGTGTGTGTGTGTGTGTGTGTGTGTGAGTGTGTGTGTGTTTGTGTGTGAGTGTGTGTGTGTGTGTGTGTGTGAGTGTGTGTGTGTGTGTGTGTGTGTGTGTGTGTGTGTTTGTGTGTGTGTGTGTGTGTGTGTCTGTGTGTGTGTGAGTGTGTGTGAGTGTGTGTGTCTGTGTGTGTGTGTGTGTGTGTGTGTGTGTGTGTCTGTGTGTGTGTGTGTCTGCTCATTCGGTCTCGTCACGATAACAGGACGTTTGTTTTCTGTCATGGCGGTCAGAGTCGACCACGGCGCCGTTTTTTAAAATCTGTTTGTCTCTGTGAAGTTGGGGCGAGTTCAGGGGTCGATCAGCTGACCTCACCTGTTCGGGTGACCTCATCACCTGTTCGGGTGACCTCATCACCTGTCCGAAGACAAACCCACAGATTATTGGTGTGTCTTAAAGTGTCTCTCTGAACGGGGGACAGATGACGTCTCGTTTGGACCTCTCAGGCCTCCGTACTTCTGTCTCCTCATCTCTCAGACTGTTGGACTCCATCATGGATCTGATCAACATGTTCGTGTTTCTGAAACTCAAAGTTAATCTGAGACTAAGCGCTGTCATAGACTGAGATTAGCCCACCAGAATAACCCTGAGATTATCGCCTCGCTCTGTCCTTTCCTGTCGGTGCGTGGAGACGACAGGAGACGACAGGAGACACGCAGACGGCTTTAACGGTGGAAATAGTTCAGACTCTCCGAGTTTAAATCTGCTGTTGGTGCCAGAACCGCTCAGATTATCCACACTCAGAGGTCACAGAGTCAGCTGACAGGTGAACCGCTGCGTTTACAAATCATCAGATTAAATTCACCTCCATCCTCGTGTTTGTAAGTCGTCTCCATCTCTCTGCAGGAACGCTTTAATGTTCTTCCTTCACAATCAGGCGGGTTGGACCGCAGGTGAGTTTCTTTTAGCTTACATGCTAATCTCATCACCTCAGAGCTGTAATGCTATTAAACCCGAGTCTCTCCCCGCCTCGCTCCCCGCCTCGCTCCCGGCCTCGCTCCCATTCATCGCCAACATTTATCCCGACTCTGCAGCAGACTCATGTGATCACTGAGAGCTCTTCATGCAGTCATCACTCTCTGTGGAGACCTTCAAAAACTGCTGACTGTACCTTTAAAGACTCCACAGATGGTTTTATTTTTATCATTAAAGGTGCAGTCTGTGATTTTATCAGAACAGACTTTTTAATAAAATCCTCGTCATCAGTCTGAATTTACTCGTCATCACCTCAATATTAACTGAACCTTAATATCCACTTTTACCGCCGAGTCATAGTTAGACAAGCAGCAAAGACCTCCCAACTGCGTTCACACCGAGCACGCCACGTTAGAGCCTTCACTCGCCAAATGCGTCCGTACAGTTGTCTGACTAAAGTGAGTCCAGCCCTCACTGTTCTGTTCAGAGAAATGAGACGTTGGACATTTTCACTCACTTTTGTCAGATACTGGATGTGGACGTGTCAATGTTGTGGATTTACTCCAATCACAGCTGCTGTTACAGAGAGAGGCGGGGCTCCTGCAGGTCAGAACTGTCTGTTTCCATAGAGACCATATCAGAGGTTGATCTGTGGACCTCCTGACTCTCTGTCCTCCAGCTGAGATCTTCTTTAGTCCGGTCTCTGAGTCTCAGACCTGATCAGGTGGTCTCAGGTGGTCTCCATCTTGACTTGCGAGCTCATCAGCAAGAAAAGGCAGGCTGTTGATTTGGGGCCCCAGGCCACTAGGGGGCCCCCAAGGGCTGACGAACCTTATAACTTTAAAAAACTGAGCTGTAGAGAAAAAAGAGGACTTGAGCACAAACCAGTCTGACAGTAACTACATGTCAACATCACAACCAGGGGGGAGAAACATTTATATTCTGTGTCATTCATTTAGAAAGTTTGTCCACAGCTCCATGAGGAGGCGGGGTTTAGGACCTATACTGCAGCCTGTCACCAGAGGGCGCTGTTCTCAGAGAGAGGAGGAGGCAGACGGCGTCTGTTCTAGATACTGCCTGTTTGTGTGATACTTTGAGTGTAACTGATAGAGCACCAATGTGTGTGTGTGTGTGTGTGTGTGTGTGTGTGTGTGTACACGTGTGTGTGTGTGTGTGTGTGTGTGTGTGTACACGTGTGTGTTTGTCTCCTACAGTGTGCGGCTGTGACCTCGCTCAGGGCGGCTTCTTCATGAAGAATGGCGAGTATCTGTGCACGCTGGATTACCAACGGATGCACGGCACTCGCTGTAACGGCTGCGGGGACTTTGTGGAGGGGGAGGTGGTCACGGCTCTGGGGAAGACGTACCACCCGGCGTGTTTCGTCTGCACAATCTGCAAGTAAGACCCTCTAAACAGACCGACACACAGACACAATTTTAGTGAATCTGAGGACTTTTACACACATAAACAAATATCAATAATCTGTATCAATCAATGATATATATTTAATATAATCTTTAATATGATTTTACACAAAAGTCTGAATAAAATAGTCGACTTGAAGACGGGCCTCAGGCGAAGTTCTCCTGAAAGGTCGGACTGAGTGTCGTCGACACTAATGATGTCGCTCTGTCTACAGACGGCCGTTTCCTGCCGGAGACCGGGTGACCTTCAACGGGAAGGACTGTCTGTGTCAGTACTGTGTGGAGCCCATGTCTCCGGGACCCAAGGACATCCTGAGCTCCAGCAGTGAGTCCAGACCGTCTGTTATTATATACGTGTCTGTTACTGTCAGAGACTCTGAGATAATAAAGAGTCATCGATGTTATCAATAACCAAAGACCCCCCCCCCCATAAATAAGAAATACTGAATCTCCTCGTGTCATCATGGCGGCCTGATTCTACTGTCTCCTGTGACGCTCTGCAGCCACGCCCACTTCACCATACTTTGATCATGTGTTGACAGGCTGAGGTCGGGGGTTGTGGTCGGTTACGCTCTGTCACCACCTGGTGTTCAGAACAGGAAGTGCATTCTGACTGATTAAGAAGCTCCTGAACTGTTTCTACTAAATTACAGACATGAAACCAGTTTGACCAGTTTGACCAGTTTGACCAGTTTGACCAGTTTGACCAGTTTGACCCAGAGCAAGGAGATCTATGTTCATATTTCTATATTCACTGTGACCTTTTTAACAGAATCTGTCTCTCTGAGGACGATGTCTCCATGTCCCTAATGTCTCTCTCTCTCTCTCTCTCTCTCTCTCTCTCTCTCTCGTCCTCAGACTGCGCCGGTTGTGGGCGGGACATCAAGAACGGACAGGCTCTGTTGGCGTTGGACAGGCAGTGGCATCTGGGCTGTTTCAAGTGTAAATCCTGCAGCAAAGTTCTGACCGGAGAATATATCAGCAAGTACGGACCTTTACTGTAACTGATGATTATTATTGATTATTAATCATGTCAATAATGTCCCAAACACACAGTCTGATACTCTGCTGTTGACGACCCGGTCCGGTTTGATTCAAGGTAGAATCTGGGTTTATGTGATCCAGGATCAGTCAGTCCCGCTCGTCTCCTGATATAAAGAAAAACTGGATCAGAACTTCCTGATCCACAAACAGACTGTTAAAGATCAGCGCGGTTATGAATGGGATTGTGTGCTGCAAACTCCGTCCACAGGGGGCGCCACAGACAGACTGAACCTGACCCAAAATACGGGTCACAGGTGTGTCTGACACACAAACTTTAACTGGTCGTCTTTTAAAATGTTCATTTCATAGATCAGCTCTGATCCAATCAGATGACTCTGAACGACCACACACACACACACACACACACACACACACACACACACACACAATTAAAAACATTAATCTGCTCTCAGGGACGGCGCCCCCTACTGTGAGAAGGACTACCAAATCCACTTTGGAGTGCAGTGTGAGGCCTGCCACCAATTTATCACAGGGAAGGTTCTGGAGGTGAGACACACACACACACACCTGAACACACACACACACCTGAACACACACACACACCTGAACCTGAACACACACACACACCTGAACACACACCTGAACACACACACACACACACCTGAACACACACACACACACACCTGAACCTGAACACACACACACACACACCTCAACCTGAACACACACCTGAACACACACACACACCTGAACACACACCTGAACACACACCTGAACACACACACACACCTGAACACACACCTGAACACACACCTGAACACACACCTGAACACACACCTGAACACACACACACACCTGAACACACACACACACCTGAACACACACACACACCTGAACACACACACACACCTGAACACACACCACACACACCTGAACACACACACACACCTGAACACACACCTGAACACACAAACAAAAGTTAAACATATAATCAAAGGATCTCTGAATTGATCTGAAAATCACTGACATTAGATCAGTCTGTTCAATCCGATCACCTCCGATATCCTAGATGGTGCAGAGTCAGTGTAGAGATTCTGTCCTAGAGCCTACAGTCAGTGTAGAGATTCTGTCCTAGAGCCTACAGTCAGTGTAGAAATTCTGTCCTAGAGCCTACAGTCAGTGTAGAAATTCTGTCCTAGAGCCTACAGTCAGTGTAGAAATTCTGTCCTAGATGGGTCAGTGTGTGTGTAGAGAAGCTCGTTCAGGAGAGAGGAGGTCGTCCAGCATGTTTTTTGGTTTTTGGATCTCTTGAAGTTGAAAGAGTTTGTCTTTAAAATGTGTTTTAATGTTTTGGAGACGACCTCTGGTGGACACTTGTGGAACTGCAGCCTGGCCTCAGGTTTACCTGAGGAGTCCAGCTCTGTCCAGGTGTGCTCGGAGAGAGTTTGAATATCTTTATCCAGAGTTCGAGTGTGACAGCAGAGGAGATGATTGCTGCTTTTGTTTGTTTCATGATAAACGACATTTATAAGTCCTGAAGGTCTTTAGAGTGATCTGAGGAGAGGATCAGAGGTTCCAGTGGACCATCACAGCAGTAAAATGCAAATATCCATCAGTATCTGAGCGTCTGTTGTAAAACAGGATGAACTTCATTTAAGTATTTATCAGTTTGAGTCACATGACTTCATATCGCTGAACTCTGCAGACAAAGAGCCTCATCAGTCCAGAGTCAGGACCTCTGAGGACCTCTGAGGAAACACAGGCTGGACTTTAACGTTCAGTATGAGCAGAACTTTATTAGACTGCAGAGAGGTTTGATCAAAACAGAGTTCAGCGTCTGTTTCATAAAAGTAAAGTCTGTTCAGAAACCAGGAAGGAAAGAGTTGAGGCTGAGAACAGGTACAGCACCTGCTTCATTTCCTGAGGGTTAACAGAAGGTTAGATATTTATTTCCTGGTTTTTTTTCCTCTCTTTTCTTCTTTTTTCTCTCGCTGTATTTGGTCTTTATTTCCTGATTTATCCGCTCTGTTTCTCCTGTTGTTTTCAGGCTGGAGATAAGCACTACCACCCGAGCTGCGCTCGCTGTAGCAGGTGTAATCAGATGTTCACAGAGGGAGAGGAGATGTACCTCCAAGGTGAGTTTTTTCTTCATAAGGTGGATCCCGCAGGTAAACACGTGTTCATGTTCAAGATGATATTTCTGTTAAACTGGAATAAAAACTGCTGCAGGTCAACCTGCTGATTTTCTTGTTCGTTCCAAATACAGATTTAAAAACTTCACTAAATTATTATTTTTTTATGACTCAGTGTATTTTTAAAAGGAAGAAAATAAAGTTGTATAAATCTTATATGTACAGTAATTTAAAGTGTAAAGGGTTAGGAGTGCTTTGTTATTATCAATTATATTAATTAAATGAGATGTTTATTGTAACTTATGACATTATTAATCTATGGTAATGATAACAGGGATTAAGGTTCATTATTTTGACTGTATTGATTAGTGTAATTTATAGTTTATTATTAATTATAACACTAATCACATCTACAGGTTTCAGGTTGTTTTTAAATGTTTCTCTGCGTCTGTCTCTTCAGGGTCGACGGTTTGGCATCCAGGCTGTAAAAACACGACAAGGACGGAGGAGCGGCACAGGGAGCGGGTATGACCGTCTGTCTGTGTTCGCCATGTTTAACCGCCATGATCACGCCACTCTGATAGTTCCTGTCCCTAAACGCTGTGAGGTCATTTTAAACGTGTCGATCAGGTGGATGAACTGTTCAAACTTTACCTGCTCTGAAACACTCACCTGTTCAGGTGCTGCTCTGTGAGAGACAGTGTGTGTGTGTTTGTGTGTGTGAGAGTGTGTGTGTGTGCCTGTGAACAGGTGTGTGTGTGTGTGTGTGTGAATACATAAGTGTGGTACAGGTGAGATGCAGGTGTGATGTCCTGTGAACCCCCCTCTCCCTTCCTCCACAGCTCTTGCCTCCGTCCCTCTTATTCCTCCAAAAAACACAAAGGCAGGTACTGTATTCGCTATTGGCTGTGAGACGGCGTCATCTGTCCTCCATCAACACAGGAAATGCTGCACTGTACGCTGCCCCCTGCTGGAGACAGCCTGCAGTGCAGCCCTGTCCCATTTGGAACCATTCAGTCCGATTAGTATCACCTGAGGGCCTGTTTACACCTGCGGTTACTATGGAAACGTAAAAATATTGATAGAAATATAATCAGATCAACTAACTCAGTCTAATATCAGATTAAATAACTCCGACTATAATCAGATTAAATCACTCAGACTATAATCAGATTAAATAACTAGAAACTATAATCACATTGAATAACTCAAACTATAATCAGATTGAATAACTCCGACTATAATCAGATTAAATCACTCAGACTATAATCAGATTAAATAACTCAAACTATAATCAGATTAAAATCACTCAGACTATAATCAGATTAAATAACTCAGACTATAATCAGATTAAATCACTCAGACTATAATCAGATTAAATCACTCAGACTATAATCAGATTAAACAACTCAGAATATAATCAGACTAAACAACTCAGACTATAATCAGATTAAATTACTCAGACTATAATCAGATTAAACAACTCAGAGTATAATCAGATTAAACAACTCTGACTATAATCAGATTAAATAACTCAGACTATAATCAGATTAAATCACTCAGACTATAATCAGATTAAATCACTCAGACTATAATCAGATTAATTAACTCAAACTATAATCAGATTAAATAACTCAGACTATAATCAGATTAAATCACTCAGACTATAATCAGATTAAATCACTCAGACTCTAATCAGATTAAATCACTCAGACTATAATCAGATTAATTAACTCAAACTATAATCAGATTAAATAACTCAGACTATAATCAGATTAAATAACTCAGACTATAATCAGATTAAATAACTCAGACTATAATCAGATTAAATCACTCAGACTATAATCAGATGAAATCACTCAGACTATAATCAGATTAATTAACTCAAACTATAATCAGATTAAATAACTCAGACTATAATCAGATTAAATAACTCAAACTATAATCAGATTAAAATCACTCAGACTATAATCAGATTAAATAACTCAGACTATAATCAGATTAAATTACTCAGACTATAATCAGATTAATTAACTCAGACTATAATCAGATTAATTTACTCAGACTATAGTCAGATCAATTTACTCATGTTAATGTGAAATATTTTTTATATGTTTTTAAAATTAAATTGTCTCCATTTAAAAGTTGGTTAAATCCGTCTTACCTTTGTCACAGATCCAGCCCTAACAAATGCAGAGAGTTGTTGTATATAGATGTTGTATATGTTGTTGTATATATATAATTTTTAAAGTTTTTATGGTTTTTATGATTTTCATAGTTTTATAGTTTTAATGATTTTTATGTTTTTTATATTTGTATGATTTTTATAGTTTTTATAGTTTTTATAATTTCAAGAGTTTATTAAAAATTTTAATGTTTTGTCGTTCAGGTCGGCAGTTTCCCTCGACTCGCTGTCAAAGGAGGTTTTTTCAGAGACATATTAACTGCAGGTGTAAACAGGCAGGTAGATCTCGCTCATGTCAAAGTGCATGAAACAGGAACAGACACTAACGCCACGTTAGAGGTCAGGTCAAAGGTCACTGATTCTGACCTGCTGTAGCCATCTAAACTCTCATTTTACATGAACAGACATCCTAAAACCTCTGATGCTCCATCAGCTTTACAGATCATCCAATCAATGATCTGATCATGTGACCACATTCTAATACTTCATAATCAATCAAATTAAATGATTTCCTCCATCATTGATCATCGACCTTCGACCTTCAACAGGAGGTCACACAGTTTAGAGATTAAGCTGAGGGGCGGGGGTACACACACACACACACACACACACACACACACACACACACACACACACACACACACACATGCACACAGGTGTAAGTTGTGTAACTAACAGACAGGTGTGTGTGTGTGTGTGTGTGTGTGTGTGTGTGTTCACATGTGTGTGTGTGTGTGTGTTCACATGTGTGTGTCTTCCTCTCACAGCCTACGCGGTCGTCGTCCGAGAGTATCTGTTCCAGACCTGGTTCAAGCATACCTGGCTCACCGGGTCACACCATCTATGTAAGAACCAATCAGCTTCCTGCTGCTCTGTCTGTCTGTCCAATCAGAATCCTTCTTCACTGTTTTGTTCACACCAAATGGGAATGAAGAAATTTACCTAGAGGCACAGAGCTGTCGTGTAAGTCACATGACTGACCATGTGGTCAGATTGGAGCGATCAGTCACTGTGGGAGGAGACGGTCGGCCGTGTCCGTCTTCTGAGGATCATTTGTTTCTGACCTCCTCACGTTCCTCCTCTTCAGAGTTTTTCAGCTTTTTGTCTCTATTTTAAATAAAACTTGAATCCTAAAGATAAAATCGAACCATGGGAGTTCGTTCTCCTTTACCCTTTTTTACCTGAATAAAAAGATTCGCTTTAGTTCTGATATTTCAGCTGTCGTAGAAACCAGTGAAACCAGTGAAACCAGTGAAACCAGTAAGGTGTCCACCATGACACCCGTGTTTTTATCTTTAGAGTGTGAAGGCCTCATTCCTGCTGTCTAATCCTGTTTGTATTTATCAGCCTGTCCTCTCTGACTGTAGCAGCTCGTTCAATGATATAGATCAATATATAGATCAATATATAGATCGACTCTGACTGTAGTTTAATCTCCTGTTTCTGCCCTTGTGTGTGTCGATGTGTGTGTGTGTGTGTGTTTGCATGTTTCTGTCTCCCTAGGCAAAAGTAGACAATGAGATCCTTGATTACAGAGACCTAGCTGCCATCCCCAAAGTCAAAGCCATTTATGACATTGAGCGCCCCGACCTTATAACCTATGAACCTTTGTACACGACCTCCCTGGATGAGAGAGACGAGAGACACGAGAGTGTGGGCGAGGTAAACCTGAGACCGCATGATCTGATCCTGCATGCATGAAACCTTGATGCATAAACCGTGCACAGACTGTCGAGCGCATCAAGACCCCCCCCCCCCCAAAAAAAATTCTGTTTATTAAATATTATCTGTTTATTAAATATCTGTTAATTAAATATTATCTGTTAATTCAATATTATCTGTTTATTAAATATTATCTGTTAATTCAATATTATCTGTTTATTAAATATTATCTGTTAATTAAATATAATTTGTTAATTAAATATTATCTGTTAATTAAATATTATCTGTTTATTAAATATTATCTGTTAATTAAATTTCTGTTTATTAAATATGATCTGTTAATTCAATATTATCTGTCAATTAAATATCTGTTTATTAAATATTATCTGTTAATTAAATATTATCTGTTTATTAAATATTATCTGTTAATTAAATATCTGTTTATTAAATATTATCTGTTAATTAAATATCTGTTTATTAAATATTATCTGTTAATTAAATATTATCTGTTTATTAAATATTATCTGTTAATTAAATATTATCTGTTTATTAAATATTATCTGTTAATTAAATATTATCTGTTTATTAAATATAATGGGTAAATTAAATATTATCTGTTAATTAAATATTATCTGTTTATTAAATATTATCTGTTAATTTAATATTATCTGTTAATAAAAAATCTGTTAATTAAATATTATCTGTTAATTAAATATTATCTGTTTATTAAATATTATCTGTTAATTAAATATTATCTGTTTATTAAGTATTATGTTAATTAAATATCTGTTTATTAAATATTATCTGTTAATTAAATATCTGTTTATTAAATATTATCTGTTAATTAAATATTATCTGTTAATTAAATATCTGTTTATTAAATATTATCTGTTAATTAAATATCTGTTTATTAAATATTATCTGTTAATTAAATATCTGTTAATTAAATATTATCTGTTAATTAAAAATCTGTTAATTAAATATTATCTGTTAATTAAATATCTGTTAATTAAATATTATCTGTTTATTAAATATTATCTGTTAATTAAATATCTGTTTATTAAATATTATCTGTTTATTAAATATTATCTGTTAATTCAATATTATCTGTAAATTAAAAATCTGTTAATGAAATATTATCTGTTAATTAAATATTATCTGTTTATTTAGTTTCCTCAGTTTCTTGAATATTTTCTGGTAATTAAATTCTCCTTGTCCAGCTGTGTTCTCAGTTCCTGTCCCGGAGGAACCTTCTTCTGAGGAGATCTTAATAATTTTAGACATTAATTCTCTTTAATTTGCTCTTTTTCTGTGTGATTTTTAGACTTTCCTTTTATGCAGCTTTGACGCCGTGTTTTTTCTTACAGCTCCACACTGCCAGGAGGGAACATTCGCCGTTACCTGAAGACAAGGTAAGACTCTTTACTGTGAACCCATGATCGTCGATCCTAACAAAGAGTGTGGAGTAAAAATTATAAAACCATAAAAACATAATTCCAGTTTTTTTAAATCGGATCTGTAATAAAGTGTGTTTGTTATAATGAGAAAATCAAAGTTCAGATTTCGTTTTATTCTTTTCAGTCTTCAAGAAACATGTCACCAACTCCACCTGGAGAGGTAAGTGTGTGTGTGTGTCTGAGTGCGTACTGAATCTACTCAAACCGTGGACTGTATCTAGAATAGACGCCGTCTGCCTCCTCGCTCTGAGAACAGCGCCCTCTGGTGACGGGCTGCAGTATAGGTCCTAAACCCCGCCTCCTTATGGAGCTGTGGACAAACTTTATAAATGAATGACACAGAATATAAATGTTTCTCCCCCCTGGTTGTGATGTTGACATGTAGTTACTGTCAGACTGGTTTGTGCTCAAGTCCTCTTTTTTCTGTACAGCTCCATTTTTAAAAGTTATTAGGGGGTTCATGTTTGCTATGATTGACACCTGATACAGCCAATGGGAGGACAGGGATTGAGTAGATCACCGGGGGATACGCTGTTTGAGCCGCGCGTCATCACTGCGACTCTCCTGCTGAATACGTACAACGTTACTGAACAATGTTGGTTTGAGGAAGTGGAGAAAAAAACACAGAATTACCGAGAACTTTTCAGCTTCAGATCTTTAAACTGGAGGAAGGAGGAACCAAGTGGTCCAGAATAAATACAGTCTGTGACTCACACCTGTTAACCTGGCAGCTCTTTACTAACCTGTGTGTGTGTGTGTGTGTGTGTGTGTGTGTGTGTTTCCATCAGGGCTCATACGATCGAAGAGAGCGGATCCTCCAGAGGTCGACCAGTCAGGGTTCTATAGGATCACCTGTTTACAATCGCCATGGTTACACACCCACCTTATCACGGTCACCTCAGCACTTCCACAGGCCAGGTGAGTTTAAGTGTGTGTGTGTGTGTGTGTGTGTGTGTTTAGGTTGTTTCTGTGACCTTTGACCCTTAAACCACCCTTGACTCCAAAGGAGAATTTCACTAAAATTGACTTTAAGTTTTTTTTTTTTTTTTCTGTATTTTGACATAAAAATTTTACAAACGAACAAAATTTAGAGTCAATTTTGTTCCTTAAATTCAGTTTTTCTTGATTTCTTTTTTTTTCTTTTTTAAACTTTATTTAAAAAAACAAAAAAAGTTCAAACCAAAAATCAGAAACAAAACCGACTTTTTCAACGACACAAATTATAAACAAACAGCAAAACAGAGAAGG